TGTGCATGAAATCTTGATTATAAATCTTAAAACGAGAACCTGATATGCAAAAATAAATGCCAAGGAAAGATTCGCAGAAGTCATGCTTTATTCATTCTTAAGCATCTTCAAAAGTTTCATAGGTTTTGTAAACCTACCTAGTCATGCTTTATTGCTTATAACTTGCCTCTTTTCACCCAAAAAAAACTAATGAGCTGATTTCATTGCTTTACTTTTACATGGTTTATGAACTGCAGCTGAGTAGCATGTGACATGGTCCTTCTTGCAGGCTGCTTCAAAAGGTGAAACACAAACTCAGTTCATTGCTGCTCTTCATACAGAAGCTAAGGTATCTTGAGATGCTACGTTGTATGTTCTTGCTTTATCTCTTTCAAATGTTACCATTCTTACAAAGGGAACATATCCGTTCTTAACATAATTCTTTCTCTTAAATTGTGGCCTAGATAGCAAGAGATGAAACTAATTCCGTCTTAGAGAAGCTCAATGCAGCAGACACTGAAATAAAATCACTGCAAACAGTAACTCAAAGGATGATGCTGACTGAGGAAGAGATGGTTGGCGTTATTCTTAATCTTTTAGACATCATCCTGTCAATTTACTCCTTTATGCCATTTTTACGTAATCTGCAGTTTTCATCTTAGGAAGAGGTTGTTTTAAAGAGATGCTGGCTTGCTCGTTATTGGAGCTTATGTGTGGAACATGGTAAAGTGTTGATCTTTCAATACATGAAGTTCCTGATTGTTTTTGAATTGATGCTACTGTATTGGATAAAAAGCTGCTTATAAGTAATCACTATAAAAGTTACAATGCTGCAATTCATTGTAACAGTCGAGTAATCCTTGGAGTAATTCAAGTTGACACAGTTTCTATAATGTGCAAATCTGTAACTGTGTCCTTTACATTTTGCACGGAGCTGCTTAGATTCCTTGAGGACATCACTTTTTGCAGGTATTCAGGCTGATATAGCCGGAGTGAAATATGAATATTGGTCATCATTTGCCCCTCTTCCTTTTGAAATAGTATTAGCTGCTGGACAAAGAGCCAGAGAGGAGGATATGTCACGTAAGAGATTTCATTTGATATGCATGCTTACTTCATCCACTTCCTTAAACATTCCGACTTTTGTTAGGATTAGAAAATGAAGCTTTAAATGATCTTTTCCTTTTACATTTTTTCTTCTTAGAGCCTTACATTCAATTTTTACTCTCTCAATAGAGAGAAAACTAAATGTCTCCTTTTTGTTTCCTTCCTTATCTCTATATTGAACAGCCGGCGACGATTTAGAAGAAAGACAGAAGGTCCTGAAACACACTAATGAACTATCCGGGGAGAGAAATGTTGAGAGCATGCTTTTAGTGGAGAAAGGTCTAAGGGAACTGGCTTTATTAAAGGTATTTTTCCTTCTTTCATTTGCTTGTGTTTGCAGCTGTCATACCATCTTTTTTCTCACTTACTATCATTGAATTATGATGCAATATCTCATATTATCGTCCTTTATAGGCTTTTCCCCCCTCTTATAACACATTAAATGGTAAGTTTGTTTGTATATCTAAAGAATATTTTCCCTTTCATTTCTTTTAATTTTTTCTGAAGGTAGAGGACGCAGTTACATTCACATTGGCTAAACAACGACGCCCGAATATGCTAAAAAATGGTATTTTTTCCTTTCCTTTTCAAACGTAACATCTATTGATAGTGGGAAAATTTTCTGCTGTTCTGTTGGCATGTAATAACAACTTTTATTAATCGAAACTTGCATTGTCAACGCAAAAGCTTTACATGAATGGCATGCTTTTAAATCCAGAAGATCTATTGATCTCCTGGCATTTTTTTCTTCTTCCATTTACATGGATGTAGAGGAGGTGAAACTGCCTACCGATGGTCAATTCGAGATATTCGGTAAGTTAGTCAACCATTTTGTTCGTTTAAGCTCACTATAGCTGTATTTTGTTTACTCCCATTGATGGTTTTTTTCCTTCAGAATTGAGCCAAGAGGAGTCTGATGACGTGCATTTTAAGCAGGTACCCTGTTTCACTGCTAAGAAAAACATTTGCGTCTTAATGGTCAAATATAATCTAAGAAAGATGATTATGTCATTATGGCTCCAAGCTAATCTTTGTTTTCTCTTGGATCTTATGTTCATTGTGTGTAGTTTGAAAGTGATTAGTTGCAAAAACCTTCAGCTAATCATCTACTTAGTGGTATGGCTATGGTCTAGGCTAAAGGCAGGTTTCCTTTTGTGTTCTAAAAATGTAAAACAACTTTGATGTTGATGAAACTTATACATATAACATAAGGAAACAGTACCAAGGCCTCAAAATTCTGCCATTCGTCCTGCTTGGTCGAGCTATTTGTTCTGCAACTTGTTGCTGCCATATTTTTTTTAGCTTGTGGGAAATGCACTAAGAATTTTCAACTTTTTATGAAATGATTGACAATGTTAAGCATAATTGAATGTGTATATTTCCCTAGAAAGCATCATTTCAAGAATCTTTGTTGAGCTATTTCTTATTGCTTATACATTTGTCATGCAGGCTTGGCTAACATATTTCTGGAGGAGGGCAATGACCCATGGTGTGGAACCTGATATTGCAGACGAACGTTTGCAGTCGTTGATCACCTGCAGTTCAGAATCGTGCACTTCTCAGGACGCAGTCGATGGTACTTGCCCTCTGTTCCTCTACCTTTCTTAACCTGGAAACTTACTAACCATAACCATTTCACTTTACTACCGCGTTTGAATACTGTCTTCGATATATATCTATGTCGGACACATCTTTATCAGGCATCTCCTAGATCAGGGTAACATAGACCAGTTAAGCTACATATAATATAAACATATGACGTGGTAAATTTTGAAGTAATGTTATGTCTGGTTAAAGTATGTTGACTGTTTTAACTGTATGCAGTTGAGCGTGGGCTTATTGAGATTAGGAGGTTAGGGCTGGAGTCCCAGTTATGGAAGACGTCTCGGCGAGGGCTCGAGATAGGCGCCACTGCCCGGTTGCATATTGAAACAGATTTCTGATAAAAAAAAAGGTGTCATATGTATCGCTGAGAAAAATCTTCATTTATTTGTAGGAATTACTTTACATGGTGAGAGTTCATTTAGTACAAAAAAATTTGTAATGTATAGCTGCTGTTTTTGCCAATGAAAGTGTACTCTAAAGAATATTATCCATTTTTCTTTATTTATTTATTTGCTAAGCTGTAGATTTTGATTTTATAGTTTTTCTGATAATTGAAACTTTGTTATATCAAGCCCTGGTTATTAGTGAGTTGTTGGTGTAATGGACATGTCATAAGATTTATGGTGCTTGAGTGCGGGTTATTAAAACTCTGGTCTTGACGAGGATGAGGGATTTTGTGTATTTAGATTTCAGTCTCAGCAAGGATGATAGATGTATATTGATTTTGTATCATATACTTGACGAGGAGGTGAGATCCGGATATCTGTATATTACTAATATTTATTGGTTAATTACATTATTTATCACTTATGTTTGTGTTTTGTTCATTTTGCCTACGTTTGTGTTTTGTTCATTTTGCCTCACTGATTTCAAAAGGCATAATATATAATCACTTTCGTTTTTACTTAATTAAAATATGACAACTTTCATTTTTATTTAATTAAGATGTGGTCACCATGAGTTAACTATCGTTAACAGTTAACTATCGTTAACGTATTAGATAACGTGGTATTTCAGTACAATCGCACACTTGGTCTCACATATTCTCTCAACTTAGTCATACTTTTAGTGAATTAAAATAAATTTAATCATCCAATCGAAAGATACCACGTGTCACCGTTCGGTTAGAGGGTTAACTTTATTTTAATTTATTTTATTTTAATGTATGCCACCCGAACCTTAAGGTTCTCAATGTCAATCGAGAGGCGAATCGTGTTACTATTCTCTTGTTCAATGGGCATTGTCGAGAGTCGATACTTTCTATTCCGTCTGATGTTTCTGATTGTATCGCTAACAATGTAATTCTCAATGCCAAGAAAAATAATCTGTAATAGGTTTTTGCTTTGTAGATTTCCTAGGAGGATGACTAGCGTTTGCCTTTGAAATCAGACCACAATCTTCCCGATCAACGGCATCTGCGGTCTCGGTCTCACGACTTTCATCGGATACCTCTACCGTCATCCTCCCCCTCTTCTTGCCATTTCCCTAAGTTCCCGACTCTTTCGGCTCCGATGCCTTATGCATAGGCATGTCACCACCTTTCTTTTCGTCTCTCGTGTTTGGAAAACCATCTACGTTCTGTTTTGCTGTAAAATCCTTGTAATCCTTCGGAATATGAGGTGGCCGGGCAACTCCGCACCGAAACTGGGCACCATCGTTACATGGTCCCTGAGGACCTATGTCAAAGGCAATGAATTGAAACCCACAAGCCGGACAAAGTAACAATCTGTTGACAAAATCTTTATAGTACTGGTACTTGACGCCACAGCACTGCAGAGTGTCCAAAATGTTTGATGTTGTGCCTCCTGATAGGCATACGAAGCAGTGAACTTTGAAGAACCATTTTGATCACCATTTGTGAACTCATGCTGACCATGGACAGAGGCCTTCGATGGGCGAGAAGCTGCCTTCTTCGATGCACGAGAAGCTGGCTTTCGTGCAGTTTTGACCAAGATTCTGCACTTCAAATCATATTGAGAACGTTTCGTTTGGTCCGAGAGAATCGTGTTTGCCTCCCCGATCAGCTTGAATGCAGCCTCAGCACCAGTAAACTTATTCTTGTCTGGATGAAGCAGTAGTGCAAGCTTTTTGTGCTGCTTGATAGAAGTCTCATCGACCGAACGTTCAATCTGAAGAACCCCGTACCAGTCCATTTCCGACCCAGAGAGCTTGTTTTTCGCAGAATAGTGAACATTACACACCGTCAACAACTTTAAGATGTTCTCGAGTTCGGGGAACAATTTCTGAGCCTTCAATGCAAACTTCATAGCGCCCTCAAGATCACCATCCTGCATCATTTGTTCAGCAGTCCCCCATGCTTTGACAGCCTCTTCTCTGTTACACTCCATTGTCGATAGCACCCGAAGATCAAATGCTCAAATTTTCCAACCTATTATTTATCCAATGACCACCATCATCAAAAACCTTCCTGCAACAGTGCAACCAAACCATTGCAGTCCAATGTATCCACCAAATTCATCTAAAACTAAAACGATAGTTGGAAAACTCACAAAACACCTACCATTATAGCAATAACCACCATACATCTGCAAGACTTAATGCAGCTGGATAAAATAGAGACCAAAGGACCAGCCTATTGGTACCAAACAATTCCTAGTAGCATGCTTAAGCAAAATCCGAATGCTCCTGGGAGCCAGGAATCCAAATTTCAAAGCCTGAAACATGATATAAAGATGACAAGGGCCAAAACAAAATGGCTTAAGTATTGAAATATACAATCTTTAAAAGACTCAAAATGGAATCATAGCCATTAGAATCAACAAATTAACTAGAAATCAACTTAATAGTTTTAAGCAGAGTTTTAAATAACGTTCACGGTCACGTCGTATTTATCACGGTTGCGAACATAAAAGATGTCATTGTGGTCATTGCAGGTATCGCGGTCGTGATTTTTTTTAAATTTCGTACAACTTTTATCCTTTCATTAAACTTATTTTTCTTCAAAATTGTCATTCTTCTGTCGTTGAATAATAAAAATTCTACGAAGGTTAAATAATAAATTTATTCTTAAACTATTTTAGATTTACAAAAAAGTTCATAATTAGGATTTTATATGAAGTTCAAGGGTTACAATAAAATTTTATCATTTCATTAAACTTATTTTTCTTTTCAATTTTATAAAAAAATATATAAATTTTATGAATTTAAAATTTTTTAAAAATATATATAAATTAATTATAGTAATATTATAGTAGAATTCAACTTGTTAAAAGAAATATATAATAAAAACTATTTGATAAAACATATATTCTAATAATCTTTTATTCCTTTAATCAAATATGATAATCTTACATTCTTATAAAACTAAATAAACTCAAAATACAACATTGTGAGTAAAAACGTACCTTAAGGTTGTTGACTCGTTAAAAAGTACGCCTAATAGGTTAAGTAGAGGGACACATCTAATGTTAAAACTTACGGTTGAAGTCGGGCGATCAAATTTGCCTCTGTTTAAATTTGGCGTCGACCTCTTAAACCTCGCATCTAATGATGAAGCTAAGCTGTAGAAAACTGTAAGACCCGAATGGAAAACAGTCAACTTACCTTGGACCAAAACTTCTCTTTACAATCTGTTTTAAGTTTAGCTTTCACTGTTCAAAGTGACCTTTGATTTTTCCTGGGTTTTCTTCTTTTTTCCCCTTTTCTGGGAATCATCTCAGTTTCAAGGTGACAAAAATGAGTGATTCTGATGATATCGCAGCTGATTTGATCCTCTTAGAATCCCAACGGAAAGGCCTAATAAACACCCTGGAAAAGCTCCAGTGTGGTTCTTCTTTAGTCCCTTCCCTCACCCTTCAATGCCAAAAGATCCATCAACTCTCCAACTCCATCCAAAATGCAATCCAAACCCGTTTCGAATTGCTCCGATCCAAAGATATTGAGATAGAGAATAGACTCAAGGATCTTGAATTGAGGGAAAATGAAGTGGGTAAACGTTCAAAAGATAAACTTCACGAGGTGTTGATCGGAGAAGGTTCATCTTTACTGGATTTACGGTTTATTGTCAGCTCCGATGGTGAAAGATTGTTGATGTTCTTGAACGCTCATGGAAATGAACACGAAAAGCTTGCCGATGAGGTTTATAACGTACTCAAAATGTCTAAAAATCCTGCAAAATTGGTTTGGCAGGGTGTTAAGAGGGTTTTCATGGAGCAAAGAAATGTTGGGGTTGAGAAAAAATTGGAGAGGCGAAGTTGTTTGGTTTTGTTGGAGGGATTGATGAGGGTTGGGACTCAGTTTAACAAAAGAACTAAAAATGAAGCAACTTCAGCTGCAAAAGCATGGAAGGTGAAGATGGGGATGGAGGGTGAGGATACTTTACTGTTTTTGATGCTTGTGGGTGCTTTTGGATTGCAGGGCCAGTTTAATTCCAATGAAATTAGGAGTCTTTTTGAGAGGGTTGCACAGAATAAGCAAGCTTCCTTGTTGGGTCATAATCTTGGATTGTTTGAGAAGGCTGCCCCTGGTAAGATCTCTTCACTTTGTCATATCACGTAAAATTTCATGTTTGATCAGTGAATTGCTTAGTTGATATTCTTATGCCTCCAAAAGAAAAAAAAATTAATGATCTGTCAATTTTGTTTTTGTTGTTTTTGCCTGTTCAGAGAGCTGCATCCTCCATTCTCAAGGAAAGACGGTGCAATCGGGTGAGGTTTCGAACGTGACGTCCGAGACAATAAATGATACAAAGATTAATTATTCCTCTACACCTTCAGCTGATTTGAGATTTATTGCAAGTACAGATGCTGATAGGTTGTTGATGTTTTTGAATGAACATGAGAACAATGACAGGATTGGTATTGATGTTTACAATGCACTCAAAGTGTCCAATAAACCGGCGAAATTGGTTTTGAATGTAGTTAAAGCTGGAATTTCAGGGAAGACAAATGTGGGAATTGATAAAGGGGTGGTCAAGAACAGTTGTATAATTCTGTTAGAGCAGTTGATGAGATTGAGGCCAGTAATTAGTCAGAAACTGAGGAAAAAAGCTCTGAAGGTAGCACAAATATGGAAAGGAAGTATAAGAAATAATAGCAATTATGATAAAGAGATTTTGGTCTTTCTGATGCTTGTGGGTGCTTATGGATTGACGAGTGAATTTAATTCCAAAGAAATTGAGAGTCTGTTTCAGTGTGTTTCTCAGCATAAACAGGCTCCTATATTGAGTCCTATGCTCGGTTCACTTGACCAAAACTTGGGTAAGTGTCTTTCCATTGTTCCCATACCGAGTTGTATCATTGATTTTGTTGGTGAAACTTTTGTAGGTCTGTTGTTATTTCCTACAGAAAACGTTTTCATTTTACACTTTCTTTTTTTGTGACCTTTTTGTCAGTTCATTGGTAAACTTATTTCTTTTACAAGTTAGAATTTTGTTAAACAAGCAGGATTTTCATTTTAGGATTTTTCATCCTTGTTCTTGATTTACTGCTGCTTATCTCAATGATTTTCAATCAATTAGTGATTGTAATTTGTTTATGTCTAACTTTTTTTTGAAGGATTTTTTTTAACTACACGGAAAGGTACATGTATTTTACTAGCTTGTGAAATTTAGGGATCATTGTTTTCCATTCTTGTGATTCTAGATTCACTTATTAGTGTGTCGTTATGCTGACGAGTTGATACTCTAACCATTCAGTGAGAGGTATCCACCATTCTCCAGTAAAAATTGAGCAGTCCGAAGCAGACAATTTTCAATTGGATAGCTTCGTTCCTTCTGAACAAAAGTTTGAGCAGCATATTGCTTCTTCGACTACTATGTCTTGGCCTGAGCTAAGGTTTCTTAGTATCAATATGAATGCAAGAGGCTTAATATTATTTCTGTCTGAGTGTGTGGAAGATCATAATCTAATGCGAGGTGAAATCTCTGATGCTTTTCAATTGGCCTCGGATCCTGCAAAACTAGTATTAGAAACATCATCATATTTTTATCGTTCAAAGTCAGGGGATGGGTTTAAGGGTGTAGCCTTATCTAATGCAAGAAAGAGTTGTATTCTTTTGTTGGAGCAGTTAATGGCATGTTCAGTCCAGATTGAACCACATGTGAATGAAGAAGCCTTGAAGTTAGCAGTCGAGTGGAAAGAAAGAATGGAAGAGAAGTACCCTCAAGGAGTGATGGCATATGGATTCTTGCAGTTTATAATCACATACCAGTTGAAGTCTTCTTATAACGTTGATGAACTCCTTCGTCTTTTGGTAACCGCAAGTGAGTATAGACAGTCTCCTGATTTGTGTCTGGCTCTTGGATTGGCTGATAAGATATCGAGTGAGTCTACTCTTTCTCTATCCTGATCTTTCTTAGGACATTGTTCTAAATGCTATATATACTGAGTAGCGTCAAACATTTTATGGCATTATCATTTTATGTTTCCTGAACCATGATATAAGGTGTTTGTCGGTTTTCTTTTTCTCGATATTGTTACCTCGTTTAGCTGTTTCCTTCTCAGCAGAGCTTATATTGATTGCTTGAGTTGATGCATTGCTGCATTGATCAGAAAAACCACATAACATGTATACAGCTATTTACATCTTTCGACTAATTTCCATTTTTTGAAACATGATGTCTGTATTGCTTTCATGCCGCGGCAGTTGTCTGGTTGCAGTATGATTCATAATGGTCAACAAATGGGGTTGGTAGATCAGTATGTTTATATATTTAGTTGTTCATGGTTCTTCAGTCCTCATTTTTATTTTCGTTATTCATTTTAAAATTTTAAACCGAGGATAAACAAGCTCCAAAAAAGTCGAGTTCCGATAAAAAACTCCATGCCCTTATCGAATTGTCATCTTTCTTATTCATTTGCATTGGAAGTTTTCGTATTTATAAATTATAAAGCTATTAGTAAGTTGATATGGTGCTTTTACTTTCAGTAGTAGTTTTCTAGTCTCCTTAATGGCATTTTGATTGTAACTGCAATATTGGATTACATTCGACAGTCCTTATCGAGACCCTCATAAATAATAATCTACGGCTTGAGGCTATTGCATATATTTGTTCTTTCGATCTTGCCGACAAGTTTCCTCCTGCACAACTTCTGAATGCCCACTTGAAGTATTCGAAGATGAGAAAATCCCGGATGAAAAAATCAAATGTGAAACTGGTAACCTTTGCAGCCTTTTTGTCTCTGAATTCTCAATGGTTAAGCTGGTATCCAGCTGCTATCCTACATCACCATATCTTTATGACTTTAACTTAACATGCTGACAGAATGTGACCATAGACCAAGAAATTGCGATAATGCGAAGGGTCATTAAATGCATTGCGGATCACAAGCTTGAATCTCTATACCCTCCTCAGGGTCTTGAAAACTACGTTGAGCATCTGGAAAGGCAGAAAGAACTGGGAAATGATACAGCAGAAAGAGGAAAGCAGAAAGAAGTGAAGAAAAACAACTTGTCAATCCCTTCAACTAAAGATGAAATGCAGCAAGAGAGTGAACTTAATCGGCCCTGCATCAATCCGTCAGGCGAGGCTGCACCAAGCCCTTTTGCTAGTGCTGGTGGCAATTTTCACTTTAAACCATCACCTCTAGAACAACCAATTAGCTTTCTTGCTGATCCAGCCGAGGCTTGTAGTTTGTGGGGCTCGGCTGCTTTTTCTATGGACACACACTCTTTTAATCGGCAATGTGGGTGTGAAATTGCTGATAACTGGAACTTGGAGAATTTCACTTCAACAACTAGAGCAGTTGACAGGGCTGCCCCTGGTAAGATCGTTTTTCTATTGTTGCTTTTAGTTAACTTTTTTTTTTATCAAACAAGTTAGTATATCTGGTTTAATTTTCTTTAATATTTTGTAATTAAATAATTTTTATAGCATGAATGTTCCCATGCATGATTAGAGTTTAGAAAGAATATTTGTTCTATGTTTAGCAAGTTGAATATGTGCTCATAATCGATTCTCGAACCATGCAGGAAGCAGTATCCATCATGCTCAAGTAAAGATTGACCAATGTCAATCAGACAATTCTAATTGGGATGCCTTTGTTCCTTCTGAAGCAAAGTATGAGCAGTATAAAGCTTGTTCATCTAGTGATTATGGGATTGATCTACAATCTTTTAGTACCAGTATGGATTCAATGGGTTTAATATTGTTTCTATGCAAGCAAGTGGATGATCATGATTTAATGCGCTCTGAAATTTCTGATGCTCTTCAATTGGCCCCGGATCCTGCAAAACTTGTTTTGGATGCAATATCAGCTTTTTATGAATCAAAGTCCAGGAATGCTCCTAAAAAGAAGTCTGGGAATGAGTTTAATTCTCAACTCTTACACAGTGTGAGAAAAAGTTGCATTCTTTTGTTGGAGCAGTTAAGGACATTTCCATTCCTGATTGAACCCCATGTGAATGAAGAAGTTTTGAAGTTGGCAGTTGATTGGAAAGAAAGAGCGCAAAAGTGCCTGAAAGGCGTGATGGCCTATGGTTTCTTGCAGCTGACAGTCACCTACTCTTTGATCTCCGATTATGACGTGAACGAGCTTCTTGGTCTTTTGGTGATTGCAAGCGAGTATCAACAGTCTCCTGAACTGTGCATGGCTCTTGGTTTGACAGAGAAGATTCGCGGTTAGTCTACTTTTACACCCGTCTCTCTAGTTTCCATTCCTCCCCTTTTAGTTGATTCTTTTAGCTGTTAGATGAGGTTAATCCTTGTCTTCTGTTAATGCTACTGTGCTTTCATATTCACTACATTATAACCATGAATGTCCCAAAAATGCTACTGTTGTCTCTTTCACATTTCGTTTGTTTTTTGCATGGAAAAATTATGATATCTATGCATTATATAACACTAACCTAGTTTTTGTTGATGGCATTCTGTTGCCACCTGCAAAATCCGTTTTAAATTGGACAGTCTTGATTGAAACCCTCGTACAAAGAAACCTACGGCTCGAGGCTATCGGGTACGTATGTGCATTCGATCTTGTCGACAAGTTCCCACCTGCACAGATGCTGAAAGCTCACTTGGAATATTCCAAGCAGAGTTTACACCAACAGGCCCAAAAATCACATTGGAAATGGGTAAGTTTTTCTTGTTTCATTGTATTCATGCGTGCTCATAGATTCCTGGAAAATGAACGGCCTTCCTACGTCCATGGTTTTACTTGAATGTTCTCGCAGCATCAAATTATAGATCACAAAATAGCTGCAGTGAGAAAAGTGATAAGATGCATTGCCGATCACAATCTCGAATCACTTTACCCGCCTAACGATCTTGAAGACTACATTAAACAGCTGGAAAAGCAGAAGGAGGATCGAAATGATGCTGCACGAAAGGAGAAGCAGAAAAGAGTCCGGAAAAAAACTCCAAAAGCCTCGTCTGCCAATACAAAAACACACGAGTCTGGAACTTCGCTATCTTCCCCAACCACTTCTACTGCTGGTTCCACAGCTAAACTGTCACCTTTGCAACTACTCGAAAGCTTCTTTCCAGATCAAGCAGTGTCACGTGGGTTATGGGACACTGCAACTTACTCTACAAACTTGAACTTATTAAGCGATAATCAGCAAGCGGATGCAGCCTCCATTGAAGGTAACTAGAGCTCAAACTTGGACTGAAATGAGCAAGCTCCATGGATATTTTGTGCTATGAGGTTCTCTGTCTGCTTTAATATTTTGATTTGTAAGATCATGGATGATGGAACTTTGCAGGACAGGTATATTACTAGAATTATATAAACGAGGGTTTGTCTACATCTACTTTCAAAAGGTTGATATAAATAATGGTAAACTAAGCGTACTATGTCACCTACCTATTCCTAGTGTTTCTATTTAATCATCTAATTTTTTTTTTCAAAAATTATATATAATATTACGTTTTGTTCACTCGTCATTAAAAAAATAGGGGTGATGCTCACGATTCAACTTAAAATAATGTAATCATTAAAAAAATAAAAATTCATAATATCAATAGTTATGTTTATTTTAACGATGGATGAGCAAAATAAAGCTATAACATAACATTATGTATGATTTTGAAAAATAAAGTTAGGTGATCAAAACCAAATCTCAATAATAATTGAGTGGCAAAATATGTAGTTTATCCTAAATAGTTAAGGAATAATATATTTTCTTATAACTATTAATTATTTTATTTTAGGATAAAATACATTCATCGGTCATTCAATTATTATCAATTTTCCATTTTTATAATTGAATTATAAAAAATAAAAAATTAAACACTCGCTCATTAACTACTACTATTAGCAACTTAATGTAATGTCACATTCACTCAAGAATTAATATTCGAATTATAGTACTAAAGTGGAAAGCAGGGAAAACACTAGCCCTATGATTCCCCTCGTGAAGCCACTGTCGATGAACAAACCCCCAAGCACCAGCGTCGGCACGATGAAGCGCCACTCGATACTTCTCCGCCTCCCACCTCCTCTATGGACTGTGATATCTCTCATATTGCACCGCCTCCTCCTCCTTATTGGGATAAAGTCATTGGATCCAATACTATTGCTAACGCTGAAGCGCTATTTTTATTGGAAGATGACGATATTGATTTATTTGATGATGATGTCGAAGTTGGTGAATCTAATGGCATTGTTTTCATTAATTTTTCTGATAGGGTTCAAAACATTGCAATCAAAATTATGGATCTAACCCTTGTCGTCAAAATTCTTGGCCGAAGAAATGGTTATAACACACTCTATAACCGGCTCCTCTCCATGTGGAAACCTAGCCACCCCATCAAGTTGATCGACATTGAGAACGATCACTTTCTTGTTAAAATTCCTGCGATATTGGATTATTATTATTTTTTGATAGGAATTGAAGGCCTCGTTAAAAACCCCTTCTTGATTAAAGGAGCTTATAGAGAAGTTCCTTAATCAGCGGAAGGAGGAAAAGAGTGCCTTAAGATTTCATTAACCAAAAGAAATTACATAAAATACAACCAGATAAACACCCCCAACATAACCAAAAAACCAAAAAACACCCGAACGATATTGGATTATTTATCCGCTTTAACGGATGGCCCCATAGGTAATCTTCGGCCACTACCTTACGGTTGAACCCTGGTCAAAGCATAATGAATATAAAGAGCAATCATGATCTAATCGTGCTAAATTATTAGGAATAAAATATTAGATGCGAAAGCGTACGTAATTTAATCTATAGGTTGAAATCATTGAATCTTTCTTTGGTTGTGTCGTTGTGATCTTCCAAGAAGATAAAATTATCTTAAGTATAAACTCTCTGACGCGATAACAATAAATACAAGATTGTCTATTTCTTTGAGATCATTACCCATTTATATAGTTGATTTAAGAATTAATTATTGTCTGTAGTTGTAACTCTACCACTCATCGAATTATAAATACAACTTTAATAGTATATACACTTTTATTTCCATGACACTTCTAATACCTTGTTACTTTATAACATAAATATTCACTTAATTTATGTCATATTTTATGATAACAATATACATTATAAATATGTGTCTATAATTATGATTTTAATCTAACATTTTTCTAACAAAAATATCAAACCTCAAAACATATGTATTGGTACTTTTTATTTTGAACTTATTTTCAAAAAAAAAAATATTTTAAACCCAATTATCGAACCTGAAACCATATGTTTCAAAAATTTATATTTAGAACTTTTCAAAATAATTTTTTGACTCAAAGTATCAAACCTCAAACAATGAATTTCAATTTTTTTTCATCAAAGTGATTTTCATATAGTTTTTATCTCAACTTAATTTTTTAGTGACCAATAATATTTTTTAGCACAATCCGATTTATTAATGCGATTGATAATATTTTTAACTTTCAACTTATTTTATTAGCGTAGCTATTTTTTTGACCAATTTGTTAAATTTCGGTAATATTTTCGGTCCAAAATCAAATTTGTTAAAAAAACTTATAACATTCACGATCTCAACCTAATTTCTTAGGGACCAATAACTTTTTTGACACAATCGGATTTATTAACGCGATTGATGATATTTCGGGTTTCAACTTATTTTGTTACTGTGGCTATTTTCTTTGACCTGTTTGTTAAACTTTGGTAACATTTTCGGTCTAGACCGAATTTGTTAAAAAACTTATAGAATTCAATCTTAACACAATTTCTTAGCGATCGATAGTGTTCTTGAGCGTAATCGGATTTGTTAATGCGATTGATGATTTTTTTAGCTTTCAGCTTATTTTTGTCATTGTAACTATTTTTTTACTCATATGCTAAATTCCGGTAACATTTTAAGTCCAAACCGAATTTGTTAAATAAACTTATAACATTTTAGATTTCAACCTAATTTACTAGTTATTGGTAACATTCATAGGTTCAACCAAATTCATTAACGCAATTGATAATATTTTCAGTTTTCAACTTATTTTGTTACTGTGACTAAACTCTTAGCCCATTTGCTAAACTTTGGAAACATTTTAGGTTTAAAATGGATTTGTTAAAGAAACTTATAACATTTCAGATGCCAACTTAATGTCTTAGTGACCGATAACATTCTCGGGCGCAACCAAATTCGATAACGCGATTGATTACCATTTTTAGCTTTCAATTTATTTTCTTAGCACCAGTAATATTCTTAGGCGTAACTGAATTAGTTAACGCGATTGATACATTTTCAACTTATTTTGTTACCTTTACTAAACCATGAGCCCATTTGTTAAAATTCGGTAATATTTTAGACGCAATCATATATGTTACTAAGATCGATAATATTTTTGATTTTTAACTTATTTTATTACTCCGATAATAATTTTGAGTGCAACCAATTTTGTTATTGCAACCTATAATATTTTTTAATTCCTATTAATTGTCCCTTGTTCCCATATGTAATGGGGAAAAGGAATGTAAGATAGTAGGCTGCCCCTAACACTCGGTTGAAAGCAGTTTCTGTAGGAGACCTCCAATTATGAAATAGACTCCATAAGACTCGATCCCACGACCTTAAAATTAAGAACATAATGTTCTACCAACTAAACTGGATGGTCATTATATATTCCACTTTAAACGTATAATTATTGTAATCGATTTTATCGTTTATTAATCTTATTTTAACTGCCTCACAGTCACAGCTAAGTCATCCATCATAATATCAGCATAAAAAAGGGAATAGCGTCCCACTCATCATGGCGCACTCTATGTTTTCCGGCTCAACAAGCAATAATTGTTTTATAAAACCATAAGGGCAGCTTTTTCATTTACCCACCCCAAAAACCCAAGCTATAGACTCTGCTAGCATACTGCAACAAGCAAGCATCCGATTTCCCATCAACTACACGCCGCCAACACCAACAATCGAGCCCTAATTGAAGTTCGAAGTACCCCTAATCGCTTCCAAGCATCAAACATCAAGCAAAAATAAACGAAGAAAACTTGTCTGGTTCGGATCTGAGTTCGCATGGTTCGGGTAAATTGCATTATGCCTTTTAAATTTCCTGGAATTTCTTATGAAGTCTTAAACTTCAAAATTTTAAAAATTCCCATCTAGCCTCTCAATTGTTTTTCTTCTTCTTGAAACCTTGTTGAAAATTTTCATTGTCTTTCCAAACGTTTGAGAACTTTAATTAGATCGCCGGACCTATTCTTCTTTCACTGAATACGATGATACCGTTTTATTTTTTGTGTGTGTATATATGTTTATGTTTTAGGAATAACGTGATGTTAATTCTAATTGTATAATGTGTTTGGAAGCATGATCATTGCTATGTTTACCATTTGTGTTAAATTGGCGTCACTCAAGCGTGGAATGTTTTCAAGCCGATTTCGTTTTCAATGGAATTTAGTGAATGAAAGTGTATTCCTAAATTAAGATGAGAAATGAAGTTCTTACGTCTTGGTAATTTTTATCAAACACAACAAAAATAAAGCCATTAAATGGTCATAAATGGCCCAAAGCCCAACCCTCCGTACCCCTTCGTGATTTTCTTTTGGACAATTGCTACTCTACTATTCTTTTTTCTTCATCCCCACATCTCGAGTTTTCCCTAATTATTTTCAATGCTTTTTAGCTTTATTTTTTGATATTGCTTTTGTTTTGCAACTTTTGGCCGTTAGGTTCCTGCATACATTGAGTTGTGAAGTTTTTGAGTGTTTGGTTTGAGTTACTTGATGGAGAAGTTGACTGATTTACAGCTCATTGAGTTGAGCAAAGCCAATTTGCGAAGAACTATGAATGAGATTCAAGATCGTGCCTCCTCCATTCTTTTACTTAATCTTCGATGGGAAGATATGGAAAGCGTTTTGGATTCTGCTCAGAATTCTGTTGAACAACGACTCAAAGAAGTCAAATCAAAAGAAGATGAGATTGAAAGAAAGGAGAAATCAGTTAAAGACCAGTTTGAAGAGCTTAACATTAAAGAGGAGGAATTAAGAAGGCAATTTGGGGAGTTGGAGTTGGGTAAGAAGTATTACGAAGAAAGTATGAGAGAAGTTGTGTTGAAGCAGAAGCAACTTGAAGGGCTTAAATTAAAGGAGGAAGAGTTTGTGTTGAAGGAGAAAGATTTTGAGGAGCGTTGTAGGGATTTTGAGTTAGAGAAGAAGGATCTTGAACGGCATAGTAAAGACCTTGAATTTAGTGTAAAACAATGTGAAGAGCAACTTAAGGAGGCTAAATTGATGGAGAAAATGGTAAAAAACAAGTGGGAGGAGGTTGGGTTGAAAGAAAAAGATTTGGAAAATTGCTTGAGAGACTACGAGTTGAAAGAAGAGCAATTTGGACTGAAAGAGAAGGGTTTTGGGAAACGTTGTATGGAGTTTGAGTTGGAAGAAAAAGCTTTGGAAGAACGTCGTAGAAATCTTGAATGCCATGTAAAACAATGCGAGAAGCATTGGAAAGATTTGGAGAAGTGCTTGCTAGAGTATGAGTTGAAAGAACAACAATTTGTGTTGAAAGAGAAAGATTTGGAGAAGGGTTTGAGAGAGTATGAGTCGAAAGAAGAGCAATTTGGGGTGAAAGAGGAGAGTTTTCGGAAGCGGTGTGTGGAGTTTGAGTTGGAAGAAAAGGCTTTGGAAGAACGCCGTAGAGATCTTGAACTTTGTATTAAAAAATGTGAGCAGCAGCGTAGAGAGGTTAAGTTGATGGAGAAAATGGCAAAAGATCAGTTGGAGGAAGTTCGGTTGAAAGAGAAAGAATTGGACAAATGCTTGAGAGAGTATGAGTTGAAAGAGGAACAATTTAGGCTGAAAGAGGCGGATTTTGAGAAGCGATGTATGGAGTTTGAGTCGGAAGAAAAGGCTTTGGAAGAACGTCGTAGATATCTTGACTTTAATGTAAAACAATGTGAGCAGCAATGGAAAAAATTGGACAACTGCATGAGAGATTATGAGTTGAAAGAACAGAAATTTGGGTTGAAAGAGGAGAGTTTTCAGAAGCGGTATATGGAGTTTGAGTTGGAAGAAAAGGCTTTGGGAGAACGTCGTAGAGATTTTGAGTTTAGTGTAAAGCAATGTGAGCAGCAATGTAAAGAGGTGAAGTTGACAGAGATATCAGTAAAAGATAGGTTGGAGGAAGTTGGGTTGAAAGAGAAAGATTTGAAGAAGAACTTGAGAGAGTATGAGTTGAAAAAAGAGCAAATTAGGCTGAAAGAGGAGGACTTTGAGAAGCGATGTCTGGAGTTTGAGTCGGAAAAAAAGGATTTGGCAGAACGTCGTACATATCTTGAATTTAATGTAAAACAAGGTGAGCAGCAATGGAAAAAACTGGACAACTGTTTGAGAGATTATGAGTTGAAAGAACAAAAATTTGGGTTGAAAGAGAAAGATTTGGAGAAGGGTTTGCGGGAGTATGAGTTGAAAGAGGAGAGTTTTCGGAAGCGGTATATGGAGTTTGAGTTGGAAGAAAAGGCTTTGGAAGAACGTGGTAGACATTTTGAGTCTAGTGTAAAGCAATATGAGCAGCAATTTAAAGAGGTGAAGTTGACAGAGAAATCATTAAAAAATAAGTTGGAGGAAGTAGCGTTGAAAGAGAAAGATTTGGAGAAGTGCTTGGGAGAGTATGAGTTGAAAAAAGAGCAATTTAGACTGAAAGAGGAGGGCTTTACGAAGCGATTTATGGAGTTTGAGTCGGAAGAGAAGGCTTTCAAAGAACGTTGTAGAGATCTTGAAGTGGCAGAATCAGGGGTGCAAAAGCAGTTAGAGAATATTAGAAGGAAAGAGGAAGATTTTGGTTTTAAAGAGAGGGATCTTGCGTGGCGTTGTAGAGATGTTGTGTTGTTGGAGAATTGTCTTGAAAAAGGTCTTAAAGATCTAGAATTGAAGTCTGAGCAATGTGAAGTGAAGTTCAGAGAAATTAAGTTAATGGAAGAATCAATAACAACCCAGTTTGAGGAGCTTAAGGAGAAAGAAGAGCAATTTAGATTGAAAATTTGTAATTTTGAGGAGCGTTCTAGAAATTTGAAAATGCAGGAGACATCTCTTGAAAAGGGTCATCAAGATCTTGAAGCAAAACAGAAACACAATGAAAAGTTCTTGAGAGAAATCAAATTGAAAGAGGAGGAGATTGAAGAATTATCAGCAGACCATAGAAGAAAGTATGAGCAACAGTCCATCGAGCTTGAGTTCAATGTTAAAAAGTGTGAGCAGCGGGTCATAGATCTTGATTTAAAGGAGAAGAAACTTGTGGAATGGTCTAAAGAACTTGAAGGCAAGAGTCTTGATTTCGGCCTGCATCCTCAAGTGAAAAATGAATCAGCAGGTAGTTCGTCAGTTAAATGTTCCATAAATCATTCTTCACCAGCACATCTTTGGTTTTGCATATATATGGATGGAAAGGATTTGCAGATGTTCCTAAATGAGCGCTGGAAAGAGCATGGTTCTATAGGTCCTGAAGTTGCTATGGCTCTTCAACTTGCAGCAGATCCTGCACAGCTTGTCTTGGATGCAATGGAGGGGTTTTACCCTCCACATTTGTGCAAGGGAGACAGGGAGTTCGAAGGGAATGTTGCCAGAAGAAGTTGCATCCTCTTGTTAGAGCAATTGATGAAACTCTCACCTGTAGTTAAGCCTCATGTTAGAAAAGCAGCTTTGAAGCTTGCCTTTGACTGGATGGCAAAAATGAGAGATGAATCTGGTCATGAATTGGAGGCTTTGGGATTTCTGCGGCTTTTAGCTTCTTTCCAATTGGCAGATGCTTTTGATGCTGACGAGCTTATCAACATTTTGGTGTTTGTTGCTCAACATATTCAAACTACTGAACTATTCAAGGTTCTTGGTCTGGGAGATAAGATCACCGGTAAAGTTTATAAAACTGTTTACCTTTTCTTATTTAAACACATATATGTTATTATAAGTTTATTTTAAAATGTTATTGCTCTCTCTTTCCGTGTATTGACAATTTATCATGGTGGTGCTTTGCTGATTTTGTTCTTGAAATCGGAATTAGAGAACAAGATATGCATAAAAGAGCTGACTTGGCAAAATAAAATGAAAAGTATTGATCATTCTTTTGTTTCATTCTCAATAAATCAGTGGCCTTGATCCTAAATTGAAATTTAGTTGTTAGTAGATTCTTTTATTTATAAGGCGAGAACAGATAGGAGTGATAACTTGGATTACTTGTTTGACAGGTTTCATAAGAAAACTTGTGGGAAAGAAGCAGCATATGGAGGCAATTAGATTTATTTATGCTTTTGAACAGGTTAATGAGTTCCCCCCGGTACCTGTGTTGAAAGATTTCTTGAATCATTCTAAGACTGAAGCTAGAAGAATTTTGCTAAAAGGAAAAAAGGCCCCTTCAGCACGGGTTTGTCTATGTTCCTCTCTATTTAAATGCCGACTGTGTCATTTAATATCTAGCCATGTAACATGTGTAAAATTAATTAACAGCATGAGGCAAGCACCAAAAGAATAGCTGATCTTAGGGCTGTTATCAAATGCATTGAAGATCATAATCTTGAATCCGAGTACCAACCTCATAGCCTTAAGAACCTTAAGGATTTACTTGTCTCTCTTGAAAAAATAAATGCAAGTGGAAATCTTACCTCCCCAGAAGCTAACCCTGCCCCTTGCACTGCTCACAAGAGGGAGACCCCATCACATGAACATGTTGGTGTTAAGCGAGAACGAGAGGTCATAGCTACAGAAATTGCTGGAAATGCCCCTCTTGGTGCCACGACCAATGTTTCCTCCAGGAAAATGCCTCCTAATCATCCAAAATGGTCAAAAACAGGTAAGCATTTGATCCAATGATTCCTGGACACTCCATTTATTTGTATGGGTTCATACCTAAGCCTTGTCATCGTTGATTGTGCAAATGCTTTTGTTTATTTTATTAGTGGTTGTATTTTATGCTGAAAAAGCTGTTAATTTCATCTATTTCTCATCCTAACTCCGAGAAATAGATCTTAGTCCCAAGTTTAGTGATAGTCGTTACAACAAAGTAATTTCAGCAATGGAAGATCGGTTTTGACTTCCAGACATTTCAGTCAACTATGATAGTCTTGTGTCCTTGATCGCTGTTCCTTAGACTATCACTTCGATGGCCACATCTTTCCTGTTTTAAGTCTTGTCAGTTGCTTTTTAGTGTAGGAAGTTGAGCTTTTCCTCAAATGGATTGAAATTTAGATGGCTTTTCCCCTTTCAGATTTGCATACAAACCCCAATCGTAAGGCTGTTTCAGATAATTATTCTTGGGAAGCTCTTGCAAGACCTAGTGATCAGGTCGGTAGCTAGCCTTCAGTATGCGGTAGGGATGGCAGCAAGTGACGACCCTTGGTTCAGTTTGTATATACTTCTTGAGTTTTAGTCTCATTTTAGTATTTTTCACTCGTGTTCTAGTATCTATGGAATGGTAAGTTATTGTTCTAATTCCTCCAGTATATACATTTCTTTAGAGTGCAGTCCCATCTAAGAACAAATTATAATTTAAATATAACAAGGTTGAAACATTTCTTTGATGTCAAGATCTTGGTTCAATGATTTTCTTTGTTTCTTACTGGCCCTAGGCTAAGAGAAGTTGAAGATCACCAAATTTTTTGGTGGACTTGTATGAAGCAACTTTTATGGCTTCCTGTTTTGGGATTCAATCAGCTGAAACAAGCTAATTTATCATTTTCTTATTTAGATGTTTCATTCTTTTATTTAGGGTACACTACTTAAACTATCAGTTTTGTTTCGTATTAGTAAACTTTCATTTGTTTCAAAATCTTACATAACATTTATTTTTTGTTTCATTTTAGTACTCTGTCGTTGAAGATTTAACGACACAGTTAAAGTGATAATTTTTATTATTTATTTTTTAATTAAAATTATTATTTATATTATTATTTATCCAACTAATGAAACTAAACTCATAACCGAAAGTAGAATAGAGAAGAGAGAAAGAAGACTGACCTCCCCGGCATTTGGCATCCGTGACAGTTGGCAATAGCTCAATAATGACAGACATTGAAGAGTTGAAGAACAAAAGGAAACAAAAATCAGCAAAACAAAGGAAAAGAAAATAAAACAAAAAGGGTGAAGAGTTTTACCTACGGGTTCTCGATGATAGCTATAGTGATTGGATGACCAATCTGAACGATACCATAAGAGAACGACAAGTCGATTAACATAGTTCAGTTTTAAGCCCATTGGATGGTGGATGACGGAGATTGGAGGATAAAGAAATTGAAGAGTCCATAGTCGACTCGGGGAGTGATACGTTTTTCAGTGAAATAGAAGTTGAAATTGCGTTTAGAGAGTCAAAAAGGTTAAGGTTGAAAAGTTTGAGCTTCATCGATCAACATATGTGATAACCGATAATGGATGACATAGCGATAGACTGTAGTCAGCGATTGCAGATGCGACGACCAATGGAGCTTCTCATCATTTAATGGGCAAGATTATGTATAGATGGGAGGGATGTTTTTTTTTGTGAGGGGGATTTCTAGTAAAGTGGTGACATGTGTCACCACCTTATTAGTTGAATAAAATTAATTAAATAATAAAATAAATAATAATTTAAAATTTTAAAAATAATTAAAAATAGCATAGTCACCTGTTCCGATAAGTTTTTAATGGTAGAGTACTAAAATAAAACAAAAAGCAAACGTTAGGTATGGTTTTTAAAATAAATGAAAGTTTAGGTACTAAAATGAGATAAAATTAATAGTTAAGTATTAAATATATTGTTTACCCTTTTATTTAACACCCGCTTTGATATGTATTTAGATATGCGAATGCAATACTCTCTATGTCCTATTAAATATGTTGACTGTTGATTTTTTTGGTTAATTTTTTTAACTTTGTCATTATTTAAAATTTATTATTTAATAAAAATATGAAAAAATATATTTTAAAAACCTTTAATCAAGTAGTTTTTAAATATGTTTTTGGGTAACACACCATTCCACATTGAACTTTACTCTCTCTCCTATTTCGTTCATTGTACTTGTAATTATTTTTCAATTTACTCATTGAACTTTCGAATTGCTCTTGTTTTGGTCACTAAGAGTTATTTTATTATTGTTTTGGTATGATGTGATATTTTTTTATTATTTAATGCAAAAATAATTTAAAATATAAAATAAAAACAGAAGGTGACCGTTCATTGTTCATTAACGTTGGACATCACCGTTGATGGATGAAGATGGTGTTCGCTCAATCCCAGATTTCATCGGCCGTTTTGTCTTGACCCACTGAGTCCGAATCTGACATTCATTTTTTGGAACATATTCAAAGTCCGATAAAAAATGAGAATCAAAACGGTGATCGCCGTCGATCATCATATATGATGGTCAATCGGTCCCAAATTTCATGGGTCGTTTCGCCTCAACCCATTGAACCTGAATTTGATCTCCGTTTTATTAGAGCATGCTCAAAGTCCATGTAACATCCCAAATCAGGGCTAGAGACTAAATTGCAAATTTTGAAAACTATGTGCTCGATTTCGAAACAAGTTAAAAGTTCAAAGACTTAAATATGAATATTTCAGTATTGGATTAAATTGTAATTATAGAAGATTGAAAGGGGTATTATGGTCTTTTTCCTTTTAAAAGATATTATTTCCCCTTAAATAAGAGTGAAACACGTGGGGGAGAGTTATCTTGAAAACTCTATTCTTCTTCTGCTTTATTCTTCTCGTGTGCTCAAAGCTTAAGCCTCAAAGGTGAGTTTTAATTTAGATGGTTAATTCCTGAATTTTTAAGTTGGGTTTTATTCTTTGAGTGTTATATAAGCTTAAGGAAAGCTTATATATGTCACACCCTGAAGTTGGGGCAAATATTTTTAGAGACCAAATTGTATGATTCTCAATTTTTTATGGCAAATTTTGAAATTCCTGAAAGTTCAAGAACCCAAGCTTGAGATTGCCCCTCCCTTTTAGTGAAAATAATAAATAAGTTATTTGGTGGGATGGAAACCGTGTCCTTTAGCAATAATGGAGCATATATCTTTATCACCCATGCTAGGTGTTATTCAATACTAAATTATTAAATTATTATTTTATAAACTAGATATGAGAATAAGTTAAGGATAATGCATTTCCACATGGAATCCATTGCTTTCCAGCTTAGAGGAAATTCTATTTTATTCTTACTTGTTGATTCATAGTTTAATATGTTGACAAAAGCAAAAAAATGGAAGAGTGTAATCAGCTGAACGAGAATAATACTCTTAGCCTAGGGGGGATTTCTTTACGCAACTCAAGTTTTTGCACCAAATTCTTCAGTATATGGGGGAGCGAGTAGCAGCTTAAGCGTGAGTAATTAACAGACCAGAGAAGGTACGGGAAGTTCTTAGAGTGATGTTGGATTCCAAAGCTAACGTCGTATTTCTGCAAGAATCAAAGCTTTTAACGTTGAAGGCAATATTATTTCATCAGCTTCGATGAGGCACCTTGTCGAGTTCATTCAAGATAATAGCTTTGTCGATCTTCCTCTTGCTGGAGGACCGTTTACCTGGTGGAAAGGTAGCTATTAGGTTTGATCGGTTCATTCTTTCTATCGAAGTGCTAGCGTACTTCCCTAATAATGTGTAAAGTTCCTTACCGAGGAGCTTGTCTAACCATAAACAAATTCTGTTGCAGGATTCTTCGGTGAGTTCGGGTCCCCGTCCGTTCAAGTGGTTCAACAGCTGAGCAAATGATCAAGGATATGTTAATCTTGTTAAAAGGTCAGTTTAAATACCCAGGGTTGTGTATATCCAAAGTGCTAAAAAAATATTAAATTTGCATCAAAGTAGTTGGCATTCCAAACCAAGGAAAGAGAGACAGTGATGCGTGAAAAGAAAGAAAGAAATAGTTGAAAGTTGCATGGGAAATGAATCTTGAAATTGAGTTGAATTATAATATGGGTATCACGTGGGTTTTAGTTGAAAAAGTACAAACTGGGAAATTACAAGGTAAGTCATCTAAGTTGTTAAAAACTCAACCTTGTCTCTTAGTTTTCATGTTGTTATGATTATGGCATAATAGTTGTATTAAGATCGATTTAGTCCCTAATTTTAGTAATTAAAAATTATATTGACTCCTAAAGTTTTTAGTTTTAACAATTGGGTCCCCAGATTATTAATTGGATTTTAATAAGTATTTTTATGGCGAGGAAAATTATTTGAAGACGTATTTGTATGATAGATTGTTCGTGTTCGTTAGAAAAGATTGAAAGCTAGAAATCAAGTTGGTGAGCTGGAATTCAATAGTAATATTTTGGGTTTTGTTGACGTCCTGAATCCGAAGTCTATTTCGCCAAATTTGAACCCAGTAAGCTATTTTTCACTGATTAATCACCCGATTTGATCCGTTTTTTCGGAATTAAGCTCCGTTTTTATGTAATTTCTGTTGATATGCATCTGACGAATTATTGAAAGATGATTTCAAGATCGAGAGCGTTCGAATGGAATTTAAATGGTCGATCAGTATGGCACAAAAATCGAGGTACTACTTTACTACCTCTTTATGCTTTATGGAACATGTGAATATTGGTAAATGCATGGATAAGATAATGTTGGTCTCATTTGTATAGTTAATGAATTTCTACACTTGATCCGAATACAGTAGAAATTTGGCAACTGATTATGGTTCAAATGATTAATATAAGAAATTGATGGATTGTTAGAATTATATTATGAGTTCTGTGATTAGTGATAAATGGATTATCATAGATTTGCAGTTTATAATATATGTCATTAAAAATTAAATATTAAAGATACTCGGATGAGAAATCATGAGAATATTCTGATAGGATAAAATTACGAAAATACCCTTATATTGTAGGTTGACAAGAATTATCTTTGGAAGTTGGTTAATAACTCTGAAAAGACATATTGATCCGATATAACTACTGATGTGCATAAGAAATGTAGTTTACTTGGAAATTATGGATAACCGGTTTTTAACACCAAGAGGATTTATGGAAGATACTATAAGTCTGTTACGGAATCATTTCAAGATCAAAGAAGGTTCGAGAAAACAATTAATTATAGGATCTCTAAATTATATTATTTTCGTTAAGAGCTAATATCGAAATTATTTGGTTAAGAAATTAAGGAAATGCCCTTAAGAGGTAGAATAGTCTGAGTTGACTTTGAATGAGAAAATACTTAGAGGATTCATACTTAACTCGATTAAGTACGGATTTAATTGTTAAGATCCTGACTTAGTGCAGGAAAATTTCTGATATTCCGTTTGTAAAATCTGAGAAGGCACTTGACCCGGAAATATCCGAGTTATGAGTAAATACCTGAAGAACAATTTGTCGGGGGTGTTCTGTTGTCAGAATTTTTCGAAATGACTGAAATAAATGATAAGATTGAAATTAATAGTAAGATCAGACGAAAGGAAATTATTAAAGTGCACTGAATCTGTAAAATGACCAAAAATACCCTGTAATGGAAATGATCCAAGAATATCACCAAGCTCAAGAACGATTGGATATCCTAGAGCTCTAAAATGAATGAAATAAAAATGAACACCAAAATTACCAAAATACCGTCATGACCTATACTAAGTAAATGCCTTGGATTAATTAAGGAATCCAAATAAGCATGGGTATTGGCCTACCTTTAAAAGTAATGGAACACAATTTAAGTGAGTAGATCAACCCTAAAGCTATGTTAATACCTGAATGGAATAGATATTACTGGAATGCGTGTTCGTCTTCTTAAGTTTGACTCGATGATAAATTTTGGAAGTATTCAGCTTGGCTCAACTCTGGATCGCATTCAGTACTAAGAATTGGACGTTTGTTCGACAAATCAACCACGAAGACCAAATTGAATGGAACGGAAGTGCAACATCTGTCTGAAAATCAGGAACGCTTGAATTACTCTGGAAGATTCCGAAGTATCTGGAATGGACTTGAATGTTAAATAAATTAAGTAACCACAAGGACTGAGGATTGAATAAGTGAGTTGGATGAATCTGGAAATGTTAATAAACATATATGATGTAATGTTCTTATGGATTATGAATTACAAAATCAAGTACGTCAGTATTTCATAATATTGTGGAAGCGTGGAAATGAAATAAAGACATTGGAAGATTTATTCAGCGATAATTCCGAAAATGGTATACGGACAAGAATTTGTGGTATTAAAGAGTAAATACCCTAGAAGGAAAATGAATTGACCAGTCGACATAGATTGTTAAGGTTATGAATCTTCGTTCTCAAGATTGTTCGATTATCCGATCAATTGACATTGATGTAAAGGATTCTGAATACCCTTCTGATTACGTACAGCTTCTGAAAACTGTCCGAATAAGATAATATCCTGATAATTCACATTCTGAATAACTGATGATTCTGTCAGTTAATGAACTCTTCCAATAGTGATTCTAAATTCCGATATCCTATCGGTATACTAAATATTCATGTTTCTCTACCTATTAAGATTATCCAATACCTCTGAATAATATCTGTAAACTCTGGTGTGTTCCCTAATCATATAAATATTTTATCTGATTTCTGACTTGAATTCTGTTCTGATACATTACCTGAATTCTGTTCTGATTTCTGATCTGGATTCTGTTCTGATATCTGATCTGAATTATGTTTTGATTTCTGATATCTCCGTTTACCGATGGAGAAATGTTTTATCTGGGGGGTTTATTGTTGGAGGAAGATTATCTTCAGGCTTCTCGGCTGTGTGCTCAGGGCCTTATTGTTACTGGTTGTGCAGGGTGTATGGTTTCGGGGAACCTACACAAACAGATTGTGAAAAGATGGGGGTGTATATATATGTTTTAAAAAAACTATACTGGTTTTACGGGAACACACTAGAAAACATATTCTGATCTCCTTAACTCAATCATCCGAAATATTTCTCTGAACTGAAAGCTCATTGTCCGTTATCATCTGAAATATCAGTAGGATCTCTGCTCAGTATAAAAATCTGTAAATGTTCGGAAATAATAAGGATATGTATGTTTATCTGTATCTGGACGTTCATCAGCATCATCTGGTAGTTATGTATTACTGAGCTTTCCAAAGCTCACTCTATTACTCACCTTTTCAGGTTAAAAGAATTATACCAGTGCAGTTATCGACATCAGTAAAGGAATTCGTCCGGCGTTGTTGCAGAGTATGGTACATGTGATTAGGGGGCATGTAATTGTATTTTAATTTATATACGAGTTTGGAAATCTGTTTTATTTTTAAATAGTGAAAACTGATTTTATAAGTTTACATGTTCTGAAAAAAAGTTTTAAATTTTCCGCTATTTTTACTGTGGGTCGCTCCGGTGGCCCTAATGTGACTTCCCGAAATCGGATCGGGCTACCCGCATCGGTATGGGGGGTTACATTTAGTGGTATCAGAGCTATGGTTTGAGTCAAAATTTTTCAAGATAGGCCGGCCGGTCGAATGTCAAAATATGTCTGATCAGTACATGCCCCTAGACTACAATCGTACCTCTCTGAGCCGGAACTCCAGGGCTGAGTCCCTATCTGTAGCGAGTAAACCAAAGTTTCTATCTGTTAAGGCTATACCTGTATAAAATAGAATACCAGTAACATCTGTCTAAACGCTGTGATGTACCTCACGAGCCATGTGAGAGTTATTTATCTGAAAAATTTGACTTGACTCCGGAAATGAAATTGGGATATATTATCGCTCTAGGAGCCTAATTTCACAATCAAGGCTGAATTGTTTCCACTAGGATGAATTGGTTCTGATTATTTTATTAGAATGAGTGAGAGTTCTGATGAAAATGTATACTCAGCTGGTTAAGTATTAGTAGAGGACACATACTTTTGTAGAAGCTACTTGAAGATATGAAAGAACTGATGGAAGTTTCATTTCTTGAATTATGTGACATGAATGAATTTCGCAGACGAAATTCTTTTAAGGAGGGGAGAATTGTCACACCCTGAAGTTGGGGCAAATATTTTTAGAGACCAAATTGTATGATTCTCAATTTTTTATGGCAAATTTTGAAATTCTTTGAAAGTTCAAGAACCCAAGCTTGAGATTGCCCCTCCCTTCTAGTGAAAATAATAAATAAGTTATTTGGTGGGATGGAAACCGTGTCCTTTAGCAATAATGGAGCATATATCTTTATCACCCATGCTAGGTGTTATTCAATACTAAATTATTAAATTATTATTTTATAAACTAGATATGAGAATAAGTTAAGAATAATGCATTTCCACATGGAATCCATTGCTTTCCAGCTTAGAGGAAATTCTATTTTATTCTTGTTGATTCATAGTTTAATATGTTGACAAAAGAAAAAAAATGGAAGAGTGTAATCAGCTGAACGAGAATAATACTCTTAGCCTAGGGGGGATTTCTTTACGCAACTCAAGTTTTTGCACCAAATTATTCAGTATATGGGGGAGCGAGTAGCAGCTTAAGCGTGAGTAATTAACAGACCAGAGAAGGTACGGGAAGTTCTTAGAGTGATGTTGGATTCCAAAGCTAACGTCGTATTTCTGCAAGAATCAAAGCTTTTGACGTTGAAGGCAGTATTATTTCATCAGCTTCGATGAGGCACCTTGTCGAGTTCATTCAAGATAATAGCTTTATCGATCTTCCTCTTGCTGGAGGACCGTTTACCTGGTGGAAAGGTAGCTATTAGGTTTGATCGGTTCATTCTTTCTATCGAAGTGCTAGCGTACTTCCCTAATAATGTGTAAAGTGCCTTACCGAGGAGCTTGTCTAACCATAAACAAATTCTGTTGCAGGATTCTTCGGTGAGTTCGGGTCCCCGTCCGTTCAAGTGGTTCAACAGCTGAGCAAATGATCAAGGATATGTTAATCTTGTTAAAAGGTCAATTTAAATACCCAGGGTTGTGTATATCCAAAGTGCTAAAAAAATATTAAATTTGCATCAAAGTAGTTGGCTTTTCAAACCAAGGAAAGAGAGACAGTGATGCGTGAAAAGAAAGAAAGAAATAGTTGAAAGTTGCATGGGAAATGAATCTTGAAATTGAGTTGAATTATAATATGGGTATCACGTGGGTTTTAGTTGAAAAAGTACAAACTGGGAAATTACAAGGTAAGTCATCTAAGTTGTTAAAAACTCAACCTTGTCTCTTATTTTTCATGTTGTTATGATTAATAATAGTTGTATTAAGATCGATTTAGTCCCTAATTTTAGTAATTAAAAATTATATTGACTCCTAAAGTTTTTAGTTTTAACAATTGGGTCCCCAGATTATTAATTGGATTTTAATAAGTATTTTTATGGCGAGGAAAATTATTTGAAGACGTATTTGTATGATAGATTGTTCGTGTTCGTTAGAAAAGATTGGAAGCTAGAAATCAAGCTGGTGAGCTGGAATTCAATAGTAATATTTTGGGTTTTGTTGACGTCCTGAATCCGAAGTTTATTTCGTCAAATTTGAACCCAGTAAGCTGTTTTTCACTGATTAATCACCCGATTTGATCCGTTTTTTGGAATTAAGCTCCGTTTTTTATGTAATTTCTGTTGATATGCATCTGAGGAATTATTGAAAGATGATTTCAAGATCGAGAGCGTTCGAATGGAATTTAAATGGTTGATCAATATGGCACAAAAATCGAGGTAATACTTTACTACCTCTTTATGCTTTATGGAACATGTGAATATTGGTAAATGCATGAATAAGATAATGTTGGTCTTATTTGTATAGTTAATGAATTTCTACACTTGATCCGAATACAGTAGAAATTTGGCAACTGATTATGGTTCAAATGATTAATATAAGAAATTGATGGATTGTTAGAATTATATTATGAGTTCTGTGATTAGTGATAAATGGATTATCATAGATTTTCAGTTTATAATATATGTCATTAAAGATTAAATATTAAAGATACTCGGATGAGAAATCATGAGAATATTCTGATAGGGTAAAATTACGAAAATACCCTTATATTGTAGGATGACAAGAATTATCCCTGGAAGTTGGTTAATAACTCTGAAAAGACATATTGATCCGATATAACTACTGATGTGCATAAGAAAATGTAGTTTACTTGGAAATTATGGATAACCGGTTTTTAACACCAAGAGGATTTATGGAAGATACTAGAAGTCTGTTAAGGAATCATTTCAAGATCAAAGAAGGTTCGAGAAAACAATTAATTATAGGATCTCTAAATTATATTATTTTCGTTAAGAGCTAATATCGAAATTATTTGGTTAAGAATTTACGGAAATGCCCTTAAGAGGTAGAATAATCTGAGTTGACTTTGAATGAGAAAATACTTAGAGGATTCATACTTAACTCGATTAAGTACGGATTTAATTGTTAAGATCCTGACTTAGTGTAGGAAAATTCCTGATATTCCGTTTGTAAAATCTGAGAAGACACTTGACCCGAAAATATCCTAGTTTATGAGTAAATACCTGAAGAACAATTTGTCGGGGGTGTTCTGTTGTCAGAATTTTTCGAAATGACTGAAATAAATGATAAGATTGAAATTAATAGTAAGATCAGACGAAAGGAAATTATTAAAGTGCACTGAATCTATAAAATGACCAAAAATACCCCTGTAATGGAAATGACCCAAGAATATCACCAAGCTCAGGAATGATTGGATATCCTCGAGCTCTGAAATGAATGGAATAAAACTGAACACCAAAATTACCAAAATACCCTCATGACCTATACTAAGTAAATGCCTTGGATTAATTAAGGAATCCAAATAAGCATGGGTATTGGCCTACCTTTAAAAGTAATGGAACACAATTTAAGTGAGTAGATCAACCCTAAAGCTATGTCAATACCTGAATGGCATAAATATTACTGGAATGCGTGTTCGTCTTCTTAAGTTTGACTCGATGATAAATTTTGGAAGTATTTAGCTTAGCTCAACTCTGGATCGCATTCAGTACTAAGAATTGGACGTTTGTTCGACAAATCAACCACGAAGACCAAATTGAATGGAACAGAAGTGCAACATGTGTCTGAAAATTAGGAACGCTTGAATTACTCTGGAAAATTCTGAAGTATCTGGAATGGACTTGAATGTTAAATAAATTAAGTAACCACAAGGATTGAGGATTGAATAAGTGAGTTGGATGAATCTGGAAATGTTAATAAACATATATGATGTAATGTTCTTATGGATTATGAATTACAAAATCAAGTACGTCAGTATTTCATAATATTGTGGAAGCGTGGAAATGAAATAAAGACATTGGAAGATTTATTCAGCGATAATTCCGAAAATGGTCTACGGACAAGAATTTGTGGTATTAAAGAGTAAATACCCTAGAAGAAAATTGAATTGACCAGTCGACTAGATTGTTAAGGTTCTGAATCTTCGTTCTCAAGATTGTTCGATTATCCAATCAATTGACATGGATGTAAAGGATTCTGAATACCCTTCTGATTACGTACAACTTCTGAAAACTGTCCGAATAAGATAATATCCTGATAATTCACATTCTGAATAACTGATGATTCTGTCAGTTAATGAACTCTTCCAATAGTGATTCTAAATTCCGATATCCTATCGGTATACTGAATATTCATGTTTCTCTACCTATTAAGATTATCCAATACCTCTGAATAATATCTGTAAACTCTGGTGTGTTCTCTAATCATATAAACATTTTATCTGATTTCCGACTTGAATTCTGTTCTGATACATTACCTGAATTCTGTTCTGATTTCTGATCTGGATTCTGTTCTGATAATTGATCTGAATTCTGTTTTGATTTCTGATATCTCTGTTTACCGACAGAGAAATGTTTTATCTGGGGGGTTTATTATTGGAGGAAGATTATCTGCAGGCTTCTCGGCTGTGTGCTTAGGGCCTTACTGTTACTGGTTGTGCGGAGTGTATGGTTCCGGGGAACCTACACAAACAGATTGTGAAAGGATGGGGGTGTATATATATCTGTTTTAAAAAAACTATACTGGTTTTACGGGAACATACTAGAAAACCTATTCTGATCTCCTTAACTCAATCATCCGAAATATTTCTCTGAACTGAAAGCTCATTGTCCGTTACCATCTGAAATATCAGTAGGATCTCTGCTCAGTATAAAATTCTATAAATGTTCGGAAATAATAAGGATATGTATGTTTATCTGTATCTGGACGTTCATCAGCATCATCTGGTAGTTCTGTATTACTGAGCTTTCCAAAGCTCACTCTATTACTCACCTTTTCAGGTTAAAAGAATTATACCAGTGCAGTTATCGACATCAGTAAAGGAATTCGTCCGGCGTTGTTGCAGAGTGTGGTATATGTGATTAGGGGGCATGTAATTGTATTTTGATTTATATACGAGGTTGGAAATCTGTTTTATTTTTAAATAGTGAAAACTGATTTTATAAGTTTACATGTTCTGGAAAAAAGTTTTAAATTTTCTGCTATTTTTACAGTGGGTCGATCCGGTGGTCCTAATGTGACTTCCCGGATCGGGTCGGGCTACCCACATCGGTCTGGGGGGTTACAATATAAGCTTAATGCATTAAGAAGAGAGATTTAGAAATGAATTTTTGATATAAAGAGCTTTGAAGTTTTATTGATGAATTTGACTTGTCATTAGAAGGATTAAGAAGTTTAAAGCATTAAAATTGAATTTAGAACACATAGAAAGTTTGATGAAATTATTTGATTCAAGAGTTATAGTGAGATATTGAGGATAATGAAGTGTTATAGTGTTTAAAGAGGGTTTATATATGTATAGATAAGTTTTAAGGCATAAGGAGAGGTTAACAAGTAGAATTTGGAGACAAAGTGTTTAATTTTCGGGATTAAAAATGAAAATCTGGGCAAGAGATATCAGTACCTATTGAGTAGATGCCGATACGACAAGGCAAATTATGAGGATTGGATGCATGGGATATCGATACCTATATGAACGATATCGATACCATATGGTTGAGGTTAGAGGTGGGTATATGAGCTAAGGCCCTCAGGCTACCCGTTTAAATTGAAGCTCATTTAAATTGCGGGCTTTTTAGCCCGGACTGTTAAACCCGCGGGTTTAATGGGTATAACCGCGGGTAGCCCGCGAAGCCCACAAAAGCTCGCTTAATTTAAAATTTTAAAGAAAATAAACTTAAAAAATTTTATAGAAAAAGAAAATAAATTACCTATAAATATGATATTACTTATAACCATTGTAGTTCTTAAATTTATTAGAGCATTTGTCATAATTCTACCGCTGCTTGATATTTTTTTTCATTTACAATGTATCAAATTATTCTTCATTTTAAAAAAATAAAAAATAAAATATTTATATAGTATTTTAGTCTTATAAAATTTACATCATTATCACTTTGGTATTTAAAGATTTTTTATTTAATTTTGACCTTTATTTTTTTCATTAAGTATGTTATCCATTTCGTTCTGTAATTATAAAAAGTCACGTGATATTTTAATAATATATCACTTGACACATAATATTTGGATTAAAAATAAGAAAGAAAAGTAAAAGAAAAAATTGAAAACATACTCTGTTGAATTTTTCTGTTTGAATTTCTGCTTGTAGACAATTCTGTGTCTTCATATTATAGCATTGAATAATTGTGTTTTATTAAAGTATAGTGTGATTATTGTTTTATTTGTTTTTCAATTTGGTGATAGAAGTGAATATTATTATTTTTTAATTTGAGTTTAAGTAATTATATCATTATATATATATATATTAATGATTAAAAAATTAAAAAAAATATTATTTTATAATCATTAATGACTATTTAAAATAAAATTTAAATATTATTTATTTTTTTACGGTGCTACCTTCCTTTTCAAGTTACTGGATCATTTTTAAAGGTGTAACAAGTTAGAACATTAATTTTTATTGCATTTAAAGTATTTAATTTTTTTAAAAACGGGCCGCGGGGTAAGCCCATTTAACCCGCGAGTTAAATGGACGGGCCACGAGCCTTAGAATTCAAAACCGTTTATGCATGCGGGCTTTTTAAACCGCTCCGTTTAAGCCCGCACCGTCAAAACCCACAGGCTAAACGAACTGGTAGCATGTATACCCACCTCTAGTTGAGGTATCGATACCTATTTGGAGGGTATCGATACCTGCGTGGGGTATCGGTACCGTGAGGGTGGTACCGATACCACTTAAGTTGGAAAGTTGAAATTGGAGTTTTAATTAGTTTATATTGAAAAGATTCGTATCAAGTGATTTGAATCTTGTCATTCATTAAATCACGTATTTGTGTAGATATCTATCGGAATCAAAGTTTGGATAGATCATCAAAGTAAGATTCTCAAGAGAACAAGAGTTTGGTAGTGTCCATTAAGACCCAAGTGAGTACATGATGATAAGAGTAAGTTATGCTATGGAATTAAGACTTGTGATAAGTCTAATTATGATATTAGGTTACATGAGTATGTGAAAATAATCATATAGGGATATGAGTCCATGCATATGTTAGAAGTAAGTGCATTTTTATATGTGATATGTGTGAATATGATTTGTATGTATTACATGTATGTGATTTATGAA